TAACAGCAGTGTCGCAGTTGTTTAGTCGCTTCTCATTCTAAGTGCTTTAAGGAATCGAGGGCCAAACCATCTAGACTCAGATGTTGCACCAGCTTGTCCTTGAAGTTATGAAGTTCAAGCAACAACGTGTTTGAAACATTACACGAATCGGTCTAAACCATCGTTTGCCATCTTTTTAGATTGGTTTGTTTTGTTTTGAATTTTGCGCATATCTGGTTTACAAGTTCAACTACGTGTATTAATTAACGAATATTATATTTGCACTTACATGTATATTTTCATTAAATTGCTTTCAATAAGAGAGCGCGCGTATTTCGGTGACTAGCGTGCAGAAGTTTGATCTCTGGTCGTTCTTTCAGTCAAGTGACCTAGGAAGATCAGGTACATCCTGGACCTCTACCTTTGTTGGTTTAGTTCTTGATTATCGTGGATGAAGCTCACATTAGATCTCCGGTATAATTCAGCCCGGTAGCTAAAAAAACCCGTTATTACATCATGCAACCACCGCATGTGCGCTATAATTGTTTGTTCGCACACGCGATTGGCCCTTTTCAGGCCGCGTTCATGAATGTACAACGTAGATTTTTTCTTCTTTTCCGGTAAGTATTTCGCTTTTTTCTTTAGTTGTCAACGGAAAGTTTTGTTCACACAAACAGTTCCATAAATATCAATGGAAAAAACGTACAGCATTAATCTTATTTTTTACACACAATAAACCCCTTTTATAATAAAATCAGCACTATGTCTAGCTACAGGTTTTCTCAGTAGTAGGTGGCCATAGGTTACTTTAAGAGCTGACTAGATTTAGTGGTGAAAGGTACTTAGGTCTGTTTTTATAATGTATGATAAAGTTTTTCAGGGTTCTCAATGATGTATTTTTATTAAGAAGTAATCTACTGATCTATTTTGTAGTCTGTCTGACAACATGGGGATGTTTGCATAATTGTGTAGGAAGGTTGTGTTTGTGTATGTAGGAGCTCTGTATGCTTTAGTGATTATTGAATTTTGTATCGTTCGTAGCTTGTTTACTTGTGATTTGGTTACATTTAACCATGGTGGGCAGCCACACTCTACTACTAGACGTATGTAAGTTTTATATATTTTAATTGTCCCTATTGTTGCCAGCCAGACGTCGTACGCAATTCTCTCTGTGCCAGATTTTTTTTCTAATTTCGTTTATATGTTTAGTCCAATTTAACTTAAAATCGTAGGTTAGACCCAGAATTTGGCTGATGTGGCTACCTGGAGAAGAGTTCCGTAAAGGTATAATGTGGGGGGGGGGGTTGCGTCTTCTCTTTTGATTTTGTGAACAATATGATTTATGTTTTAGGGGCGTTTACCTTAGTTCCCCATTTGTTGCAGTAATTTTCTATTTCATTTACTCGTGGT